GGGGGCAAAGTGATGGATGGATGGATGGATGGATGGATGAATGGATGGATAGATGGATGGATGGAAGGAAGGATAGATGGATGGATGGATGGATGGATGGATGGATGGATGGATGGATGGATGGATGAATGGATGGATGGATGGATGGATGGATGGATGGATGGATGGTGGATGGAAGGATAAATGAATGAATCATTGGAATTCATGTTCAGATTTGAAGAGAGGACATGGAAAGCTGCGACAGTATGGCGCATGAGAACCATTTTCCAAACCATATAGACTCTCATTGTAAAATGTGGGAAATAAGAAATACCAATATAGGATCAAGACGGGAAACACAATTTTGGAAAGGAAACTCAGTCGAAACGATGGGTACAGCAATATTTCAACAGCCTCCTAAACAGACCGCCGCCAAGCAACCTGCCAAACGGACTGCTAGAAAGGAATTTTTTTTTATAGTAAAGGGTTTTACGGCGCTCACAACTGCATAAAGTCATATGAGCTCCAAGGAATGAGCTGCCTATCTGGTGTGATGCTCATTCAAAACAAAAGGTTGTGGACATCATAATTGACTTCCATGACCAAACAACGTTGCATGTCAGGGGGGAATTTTGGAGAATTGACAATACCTTCATCATAACACAGCTAATTGAAGGAAAACAATCAAAGAACAATTCGACTTTTTTTAATGTCAGATTATTAATTGAGGTTTTGTCCCTTTGATCATAGGTGAACTGGGGCTGGGGCATTGCTCGGATTAAGGCCATAGCGATGCAACAATTTTGGTCCAAATTTCGCTCGGGTTTTAGGCCATAGTGATGTAGCTGAAAAAAGGTAAAATAGCAGCAACTGGTCGTACGCCCAGGATCAGATGCAAGGACGAACTTCAGTTTTGAACGACCTTCCAGAGCCTACTGGATTGAGGATCCACAGTCAAAGGTCCTAAAGATAGAATCACCACAAAAAGACCAAGTCGCTAAAGAAAGAAATACACAAGAAGACATTGAATCTTTCTGCTAACTTAGGAGTGTACTTGATAAAGAGGGAGGAACAAGAGCTGAAAAGACCTGCATCACGATAAGGAACAGGCTGTTTTCGTATGGTCGCTTTTAAGCACAAGGGGGCCTTCCCCCAAAAATGCTGTTTTGAGAAAATCGAAGTTAAATTTTTGGGCCCTTGTTCAGTTTCTTTAAAAGACAAGGAGAGTTTTCTTTATAACCAAACAAATATATTACACATCAATGCAATCAAACTTCTCCTATAGGTAGGGCAGTGTCCCTTTTTGGTGTAGGTCAATATTTCTGGAAACCCCCAAAATCTGGGTTAGCCAGCTTATCCTTAAAAGCGACAATATATTATTTGAATAAGATTTGGAGGAACAGGGGTATCTCACTTCAAAAGGGTAAGTATTTTCATATCGAATGTGTCAATCTTGGTGTATGGATGTGAGACATGGAGCGCGTCTTAGCCTTGCATAAAGAGGGTCCAAGTTTTCTTGAAGATGTGTCTGAGAAAGTTACTAAAGATCAGGTGGACAGACGAGGTCGTCAACAAAAGTCTTAATGGGAACAAGACAGAGCAGAGTCGGAGATGAAGAGGGAAGAAAACGATGGCGATGGACTGGAATACTCTCAGGAAGCCAGGCTACTGCATAGCGAAGAAAGTGCTGATTTCGAATGCCCAGGATAAGAGATCTGAAGGAAGCCATATATGGAATCTGCAGTGGAGTGACAGGGAAAAGTAGGAAAACGTGGATTAATATCAGAGCTTAGTCCAGGATAGAAAAGTGTCGAAAGTGTCTGATCATGGCCCATACCTGATCCCGGTTAGTGATGATGAACCTGCTATGACGGCTACCTATCCAAGACAAAAGTGTACTTGTCACATCCTGCCTTGTTCTTGAAAATTACCTTTACAAAGCACGCGGGACACACCAAACATTTTCAGTATGTAAAAAATTTGAATTTTGCGTGGCGGCCTAAGCCTACTCTTATCAATTTTTGGACCACCAAGGGATCTTTCACGTGCGAAACTTGCACATGAGACCTCCGAGATGTTTCGCCCTTGTCCGAGACATCCACCTGACTAAGACAACCATAATTAATTTTCTCCTCAACAATGTGTGACCGCCTCGGGATGTTTCGACTGTGAGTCATGCGTTGTTCTGAAATATTGTCTCACCTGGGTTTGTAAAGAGTATAGTCGTTATGACGGGTTCTGAACTCCACGCCATTCAGCACAGCCAGCAGTTCCCCCATCCCCACAGTGTTCATGTGGTCCGGGTGGTCGTGGATGGCGGCGACAGACCAGCTCACGTGGGAGTTCGCATAGTAGGGCTGGGTGCCGTCGTTGCTGAGTCGGATCTAATGATGATGATAAGAAGAAGAAGAAGAAGAAGAAGAAGAAGAAGAAGAAGAAGAAGAAGAAGAAGAAGAAGAAGAAGAAGAAGAAGAAGAAGAAGAAGAAGAAGAAGAAGAAGAAGAAGAAGATATAATAATAATAATAATAATAATAATAATAATAATAATAATAATAATAATAATAATAATAATAATAATATAATAATAATAATAATAATAATAATAATAATAATAATAATAATAATAATAATAATAATAATAATAATAATTAATAGCATCTCTGCTTCACATTTCCATTTTTTAATGCTCAATGCGCATTACATCGCGAAAGACATCACATCTTAAAAAATAATCGACACCTGTTGGAGATGGGAAGGAGGTGGAGTGGGGGATTATTGAGGAGGGAAGATTGGGGAGGGGGAAGGGGGAAGGGGGGAGGGAGAGTACGTAATTCTAGACAGATGTATGAATGGCAGAATGTGTGTGGGCTGTGTGTATATATAAATATGTACATGTGTGTGTATATATATTTAATATACATGTATATAATATAATAATATACATATATAATATATATTTATAATTATATATATATATATATATATATATATATATATATATATATATATCAATATATAAATATTTATATATATATTTATATATATATATATATATATATAAATATATATGAGTGTGTATATATGAGTGTGTGTGTTTGTGTGTCTGTGTGTGCGTGTGTGTTTGTTTGTGGGTGTGTGTTGGGATTTGCATAGAGTGTGGTGAGAAATAAGGAGAGAGAGAGAGAGAGAGAGAGAGAGAGAGAGAGAGAGAGAGAGAGAGAGAGAGAGAGAGAGAAAGAGAGGTGGGCAGGGAGAGGGAGGGAGATGCAAAGAGAGAAACAGACTTGACCGAATGACAAACATACCTACAGACAGACAGATAGCCAGACACACACCAAAAAAAAACAGACAGACCCACAAACAAACAAAAAAGATAAACAGACGTACAAACACAATCACACATCATAGGCAAACAAACTGACGAACAGACACGCACGAACAAGCAGACAGACAAACAGATAGATAGATAGAGTGACAGACAGATAGACAGACAGACAGACAGATAAACAGATAAACGTGGGTGGTTGGCGGGTGCTATAGTGTGGTTCGCTTCTTCTTTCCTATCTAAATATCGATCGTCCTTTTCTCCCCTCCTTTATTTGTGTTCGTTTCTCTCTTGTATCACCTCTAATCTACGGCACTTACATGACCTTATTGTGTTGTGAGTGCCGTAAAACTCCTACTAAAACTAAAAACACAAACAGACAGACAAAGAGATAGATAGATGGACAGATATGTTTTTGTAGAGTGTTTTACGGCGCTAACAGCTGCATTAAGTCATATGAGCGCGCGGGACACACCTAACATTTTCAGTTGATAGGAAATTTTTGAATTTTGCCCGGGTGGCGGCCGAAGCCTATTCTTATCGATTTTAGACCACCAAGGGATCTTTAACGTGCGCAACTTGCACACGGGCCCTCCGAGATTTTTCTCCCTTGTCCGAGAAGGCTAGGTGTAGATCTTTCCTACCAAAAGATCAGGGGTGTGGCAGAAAGACAGCAGTAAGAAGAAGCGAAAGAGTAGCAGTAGAAAGGCTGCAAAAAGAATCAGGAGCCCAGAGGAAGGGGCAGAGGAGGTGAGTGGGGGGGGGGCAGAAAACAGACAGATAGACAGATAGACAGACAGACAGACAGATAAACAGACAAATAGACAAAGAGACAGACAGACAAGGCAGACCCACCGACTTGAGCCCTGAGTCCCCGTCAGATCGGGACTTCTCCTCCACAAATAGCTGTTGGAGCATCATTTGTCTGGCCAGGTTGTTGACGGTCGTCCTCAGCTCCTCGTCCCTTCCCACACAGTCGCCGATTGGGATCTGAGTTGTCTCTCCTTGCACGTGCATCACGTACCACGTGCTCGCGCTAAGCAGAGCTACTAGGGGTAGGAGGGACTTCTGGAGGAAGGTAAAGAATTACCGATAGTGTGTTCTGTAGATGCTTCGTGCCACCATTGAAACAATTTATCTGGCCTTGCGGGGAAATCAGGCGCTCGTCTAAAATAATTAAACAAACAAACCAAAGAACTCAAAAACCGGCATGAACAAGTATTAAGATGATACCATGTGAGGCAGCGTGGTGGAATCAGGCTCTCGTCAATTTTTGGGCATGTATAGTTATTGGTATCATCTTAAAGCTTGTTTACTTGTCTTTATTTGGGTGAAACAAATATCCATTTATCTTAAATACAAGTCGAGATATTTGCGAATGAAGGAGGTGAGGTTACCTGTTTTCAAAGGTAAAATTAGAGAGAAAATGGCCGCCAAAGATTAGTTATTTCCTTAGCTTAAGAGTCTGTAGTAACAGAAAGTTTACATTGTTTGTGACTTTAATCAATGTTTTTCGAAAAAAATCCACCCAGCAATTAGTTCTTTAATGGGCATGAAAGGTGTTGAACCAAAAAACAAAAATTTGATAAAAATTCACAAACCTGCGGGAAGATGCACGTTTCTTCACTTTGATTATTTTGACGAGAGCCTGATTCCACCACGCTGCCTCACCCATTAACTCTGTATGCCCCAACACTGAAGAGCACCCGAGTCGTGACACATTTATTAGTTCAGAGATTGTCAACCTTGTTATAACCAGCCGCCACTTTTGACACTTTTAGTAGGCAACGATTTTCGTAATGCCCACTATAATGAATATTTCTAAGTGGTGAATAAACTAAAAACCGGTCACTACCAGGGAGGAAATGATTTAGTTTTAACACAGCTATCAACACTGTTAGATTATTTAAGAGACGGAACCTACGAGTTCAACATTCGAGTCGGAAAGGACCGAGCGAAATAGGACGCCTTTCCCAAGGACACAACGTTGGATCGACATGAGGCTTGAACCCTCGGACCTGCAATCTCTAGATTTCAGATACGTACCCTAACCACTAGGCTACCCATACCACGTCTACTAGGGTGGTCCTCATATCGTGGAGGGGGGGGGTAAACAAAAAGAAAACTTCGATATACAAAAACCAGGACACACAATGCCATAAAGCTAAGGATACAGGGGGTTTCAGGAAGATAGGAGTTTGAGTCTGAGTTGTAGAGATTCTTAGTGATACGATATTATTATCGATATTATCGTTTGGGTAAAAAAAAAAAAAAACAGACGCAGAGAAAGAAGAGACCATATATTTGTATTCTTAGATCGCTTTTTAATTAATATCATCGCCAACGCTCTTCACTCTCTATAAAAACTTCACTGCAAAGTTTGCTCGCCAAGGGCCAAGTCTTAATGTACAATGGACGAAAACCGTACCAGTCTCGCTATAGCCGAGTGTACGAGACATATTATTGCCCTTTCCCTTCATTTGCTGTAAATTTAAGTCAAACAATACGCTCCATAGTCAAGCGGCAATACTTAAGAGCACACAATCTCGGATATTTTAAAACAAGTCCATGAAACAGCGATAAAGAAGCCACAGAGGTAAAATGAAAGAACAAGAGCGAGTAGTGGCGCCCTCCAACCACTACCAAAACAGAATCTTTTCCCCAAAACGAACGTCTAAGTTGTGTCAGACATTTATCGCCAGTGGCTTGAATTTCTGTTGACAATTTACACCTCTTATAACACTATTTAGGTGTCATAGTAAGGGACTAGCTGAATGGCACACAGTACTCCTTCGAGATCCCAGCAGACAGAATACCCAGTCGAGATATAACCATTTTCAAGTGCCAGATCTGCAACAGACACCAGCAGTCATGGTTCGCCGCCATTCATTTCTTTGCTCGGTGTTTTCAAACACAATAATAATTTGTATCCTGATATTTCCCCGTCACCCACCTGTCCAGGCTTTCGAAACAATTGGCTTGAGGGTCCACACCTGCCCAATTTGCCTTTAATGTTTCCACCTGAAGATACTAACGTAAAGTAGCGAAATTACAAATGTTGTGGGTGAGGCAATCACCTTAACCCCTCACAGACGGACTGGGGCGTTAGTGCCTGCCTGTCTACTTATTGTGGGGTCCTAGGATGACAAATCGCCTAGCACATGCGAGTTGTAATATGCAATAATAATAATTTATAGTTATTGTAAAACCTTTACACCTTTTTCGACAATATAGTTGAGCCTGCTGTAACGGTCACCTGCATAAGAGAATTAATTGCTTGTACAAACGACCACTTCCCATTTCCTCCCTTGCAGATTTTTTACGTTCTAATGACACTGTATAAGATGGCCACCTGTCTAATACGGCTACTTTTCTTCTCGAGAATGGGTATCTGTCTTGGACAGTTTCGGCTGTATTTCGATCATTCAGGAGGAACGTGGCCTCAGCTCCATCGGTCAAGGCCAATCCAGGCCGAGTGGTGTACACAACTTCTCAGCCGAAAGACGGAGACACTAGATAACAATTAATTATTACATGTATTATCTCTACACACGGGAATCGAACTCGTCTTCTCCATGCTGTGGTGCTGTAAAGGTTCCAGCAAGTAGTATTATGGTAAGAATATCTCTCATGTGTTCTATAATAGTAGAGCACGTATACGAAAAATCCAATCATTCAGACTTTTCTTTTTTTTACTCTTGCTTGTCAGAATGTTCATCTTGTTTTCCCCCTAAAGTTTTCTCAAGACAAGAAGTAAAAAAAAAAAACGATTTTGGTAAGCACTGGTTGGGCTATTTTTCTATTAACACAAGACGAATATAAAACACTTGACGTCGCTCTTTTTATTAGACAGTATTATTGGGGGGGGGTTTTATTGTGTGTTGTTTTGTTTTTTTCAAAACAACAATAACAGTTACAAAGGCAAAATAAATTATCTCTATAACCACTGTAGAAATAATTTATTTTGCATTATTTCTATAACCACTGTAGAAATAATTTATTTTGCATTATTTCTATAACCACTGTAGAAATAATTTATTTTGCCTTTGTTACTGTTATTGTGCGCTCATATGACCTAAGCAGTTGCGAGCGCCGTAAAACCCTATACTACTACATAACCACTGTCTTTTTTTAAATACTGTTTTCTCCAAAACTGAAAAACGCACCATGATGAATGTTATCCCTCAACTGTTTAGACCAATGGTGTCTCGCCCTACCTCCCCATCACCTTTTATATGTCTATTTAAAAGTGGTGTGACGTCAGACAACCCAACCGTAATAAACTACTCCGCCTTCTAGTTCCACCATCTACAATCACCCCCC